ATGCGGTTGATCGGCCAAGGAGGGCCGCCAGCCCAGGCCCTGCTGCACCTCCCTTCCACGGCCCTGCCTTCAGTAAGGCACAGGGTCCCCTGTGCTGGCCTCGAGGTCATCCCTAGAGACCACGCCTTCCCTGGGGTTCTCTCTCTAGCCTCCCCGGGAATCCAGGGCCAGCTGCATCACAGAGGCTGAAATTTTCCAGTTCTCTTTGAGAGCTTCATTGACAAGCACCCTTGGAAACGGCCCTTAGAACAACAACATCCCCACTCCTGTCTTCCAGCCTCTCCTTAAGGACCCTTCTGCCGAACTGGGGAGGGCTTGCTGACCATGACCAGACCCCACAGGTACATAGAAGGAAGGGGAAGGAATCAAATATTACATCTTCTTCCCCAACTCGCCCCATTCAAGAGACACCAGAGCTCACATAACTGTCTTGATCTGCCTCGTCCTCGCCCCTTTGCCCATCCGGTGCTCCTGCCCACGCCTCCTAGGGTCAGAGCACTCCCTTCACTGTCCTGGTCCTCTGCGTTCCCACTGTCAAAGCTGCCTGCAGTTCTGCCAGCCGCCCGTCTCACCAGCCTCTCCTAGAACCCACAAGAGGCGGTGGATGCGGGACCCTGGCCCAGCCAGCAGCCTTCCAGGGCTGCCTCCCCTCCGTGTCCTCTGGCACAGTTGACACGTGTCATCCTTTTGGCATGCACTTCCACTTCCCGGGCCCAGCTGGGTCTTTTCCCAGCATAAAGTCGCTCCCCACATGTCTACCCACACAACTCTGTCCCAGTGCCAGCCCGGTCACCATCCTTCCGCTTCATGTACCTTCCAAAGAACCGGATGCAACTGGGGGGGGGGAGCTCCCTAGCTTCTGAGAGATGTGCATTCCGTCTACCTGTTCGACCTTCAGAATGTCTTCTACAGTCTCGGGTCGTCATCGGCAATATACAGTGTTTGAACAGAGCACCCGATGTCCTATGATTCTAAGAGCAGTATCTAATATCTCTTTGGGGTGCTCAATTAGAATCCACAGCAAAAAGTTGCGATCAGGTAGCTCCCAGGGGAGATAGGCTTCTGCAGTGTGTTGCCCCGCAGCCCGCACGCACCTGTTGTAGCACAGGTGTGTTTTCTGCAGGTGTGTCCTCCTCTGGTGTGTAAGCCCCATGAGGGCAGGGGCAGCATCTTACACATGCCTGGGATAGAGTACACATTTAACACGTGTTTGCAGAGTCAGCGAACTAAATGGAAGGAGGGAGGAAGCTAGAGATGAGTTGGTTCTGTGTGTTACAAACCCAAGCCGACGGGCCAAGGCAGAACGTCGAGGGCTTGCTCCCACGACGAGTAGGCATGTGCTATGGGAACGTGCGGGGACACTCCTTTGTAAATCAAGATCGGCCTGTGAAATCTGGAATGTGAGCTCTCTGCAGCTATAGGCCCCCGGAGGAAGGAGGGAAACCCCACGGAAATGAGCTGGCCGAGGCCAGGCTGGGGCTCAAATCAACGTCCCCCACACGATGACATGCTAAGGACCCAATGTCCAAGCGCAGATTGGAGGGGAGGGAGTGTGCTAATGCTAGCTGAGCAAGTATCTCAACAGTACCTAGTTCTCACATTTATTTAACACAGCGCCCATTCCTTCCTTATGAGGGAGGTCTTAGGAATAAAGAAATTTAGATTCAAAGTTCAATTACGAACTGAAGGTCATTAAGGGATAAGGTATCAGCATGGTGTCAGGTTCCAAAGTCGATGCTTCCTTCACAGTCTCGCAGGATCAGGCGGAAGAGGTGACGGAGGAGAAAGGACAGCCCCAGGTGCAGCGGGCAGCCCTGGAGAGCAGCACACTCGGCCAGACTGGTGGTGCAGCCCCCCGGGGTAACTGGGCTCCGGGCTGCGGAGTCAACTTGGGGGACCCAAGGTGCCTTCTGGCGTTCACCTGACGTAAGAGTTGACCGAGCCACCCGAGTTCATCTCAGCCCGCGTCTCGAAACACGGGTGCTCTGACGTGCTCCAGCTGACGTTGGTTTCTGCAGTGACAGGTGCCCTGGCTGCTGGCCCGCGGTGGGGGCGGTAGGGGGGACAGATCCTGCTGCAGCCCAGACTTTCGGGGGCTGTCACAACTGCCAAACCTGTCCCACCCGCCCCTCTGCAACCTAAGAGCTCCGGAACCAGTTCGCCGAACCCCGCACGTGGGTCCGCAGGGCTGCGGGCGGGGACTGCCTTTGGCCCGGACTACAAGTCCCACAATGCTCTGGACAGCGGCGGCGGAGAAGGAGGGGTGCCCTCAGGTGTCTGCGACCTCGGCGCCTCCCGCCCGGAAGTGCCCGAGGGTCCGCTATGGAGCTGGCGGAGCCGGGCGGTGAGTCCCCGCGCCGTGACCGCGCCCACCCCGCCTCCCCGAGCCCCAGCGGTCACCGCTCACCCCGTCCCGGAACCTCCCGTGCCCTCCCACGTATCGGGGGGCGGGAAGATGGGAGGGGTTGATGGAGGAGTTGGAGATAGGGAGGACGAAGTCCCTGCTTCCCGGGCGGGACCTGGGGTCTAGCCGGACGCTGGGTTTGGAGAGGCTTCCAGAGGAGGCGCGGGGTCAGATCGCCGCGGGGTGGGGCCGAGTGGAGTGCGGGGCGGCAACCCTAGGAGATTCCAGACTGTCCAAGGGCGGAGTTTGACGTTTGGTCTTAGGGAAGCCTTGGGAAGCCGTCCGTGTGGGCGGGTGGGGTTTGGGTGAATGGTGAGGGGTAGGGGGCGGCATAGAGGCCCCTTTCTCCCCCCTCGGAGAAACTTGAGCGACGGAGGAGGAGATAAGCTTTAGGGTAGACAAGCAGCTTTGGGGTGGGATTGGTGACGGCATAAACTTCGGGATGAAGTAGACGGAAGAATAGGTAGGCTTTAGGGTGAAGCTTGGTGGGGTCGAATTTAGGGGAGAGGTCGCTCAGAAGGTCAAGGCCCTTATCTCGGGGTAGGGTTCAGGGAACTGAGGAGTTGGTTGAAGGTCTAGCACTCAGGTTAGAAAAGTTAGGACTGGGAATTTGGTGATGGGAAGGGCATGTGGGGCAAGTTTGGGGCAACTAAGAGTCAGCAGCCTATGCCCTGGCCTGGGGCTTGGGGCAGGGGTCGGAGGAGTGAGGCCGGTGGGCAGCCGGGGCGGGGTGGGCTCCGGAGCCTGCTGAGCTCAGAGAGCTGTTGGCCCCTGTGAGCCAGCCCAAAACCCCTCATGGGTTCTTTGTGCCTCTCCAGCCCAGTAGCGCGGCGGGCGAGGCAGGTGCCATGGCCCTGATTGAAGGGGTGGGTGATGAGGTGACCGTCCTTTTCGCGGTGCTTGCCTGCCTTCTGGTGCTGGCTCTCGCCTGGGTCTCCACACACACCTCGGAGGGCGCCGACCCACTGCCCCAGCCGTCAGGGACCCCGACGCCGGCACAGCCCAGTGAAGCCATGGCGGTCACCGAAAGCGTCAGAGGGGAGGCCCTAGAAGCCGAGACCCCCAGCCTGAGGCACAGAGGTCAGGCCGCGCACCCAGAGCCTGGCACGGAGCTCCCAGCAACGCCGCCACCCCTGGACTCCACCCAGGAGCCCCTAGTCCTCCGGCTGAAATTCCTCAACGACTCAGAGCAGGTGGCCAGGGCCTGGCCCCACGACACCATTGGCTCCCTGAAAAGGTAAGTTGGGGTGAAGAAAGGAATGAAACGCTAAGGAGTGGGTGGGCATGACCACAGACCTGGGAGAGCCACTGAAGACCCCTGAGACTCGCCCCTCATTTTACAGGGGAGGGGACTGTGGTGCCCAAATCCCGCACCATATTGTTACCCTGGAGCAGGAGGGACCCCCTTTGGGGGCCGTGGCCTGGGCCGTGGGTGGCTGGAGGGCATCGCCGAGGGGTGGGGGTGTTGTCCCGGGCAAGGGACGAGGACTGCCTGAGGCCTGCTCTATTACCCAGGTCCCTCTCTCCTCAGGAGCCAGTTTCCCGGCCGGGAGCAGCAAGTGCGGCTCATCTACCAAGGGCAGCTGCTGGGCGACGACGCCCAGACGCTGGGCAGCCTTCACCTCCCCCCCAACTGCGTTCTCCACTGCCACGTGTCCACGAGGGTCGGTCCCCCGCACCCGCCCTGCCCACCGGGGTCAGAGCCAGGCCCCTCCGGGCTGGAAATAGGCAGCCTGCTCCTACCCCTGCTGCTTCTACTTCTGCTGCTGCTCTGGTACTGCCAGATCCAGTACCGGCCCTTCTTTCCCCTGACGGCCACTCTGGGTCTGGCCGGCTTCACCCTGCTCCTCAGTCTCCTGGCTTTTGCCATGTACCGTCCGTAGTGCCTCCACGGGCTCTCAGCGGTGTGGCTGGCGCCTCCGGACCTGGCTCCCGACCACAGGGCGGGAGCTGCTGTCTGCCCAGGCCCACCTCTCCGGCCTGGGCCTGCCTCTTCCCGCTACCCTGGAGCCCAGCCCTGCGCCGCAGAGCACTCGGGGGACAGGTGGAGGCCCCGCCCTGCGACCTCCACGGCCCAGAGCCGTCTCCCGGGGCTGCTGGCCCTCGGCTGCCCCTGACTGTCGGTTCCTCCGGGTCAACCAGCTGTTGTCGCTGTCTTGGCCCTGGGCAGAGCGGGGCCACGCCCCTGGGCCCGGCTTAGTGTTCTTCTGCCTGAGGACCCAACCACCTCTAGTCCCTCATTGCGCCTCGTGCAGATTTGGGGACCCAAGGACCGTGGCGGGGTGGGAGGGGCCGAGGGCGTCCCTGGAACTTGTGCAAATTAAACAACTGTGAAGTTTTCACTTCTGGTGTGTGTCTGAGCATGTAGCCCCACGGGGGCTTGGGGCCCTTGCCGACTGGAAGGAAAGGAGTGCGGGGCACCGGCCGAGCCCTCTGCTCTGCCAAGCCCTCCGGGGCCAGCCCCGAACAGCCCTCGCCTTTCCTCCGCCTCGCGCCCGGATCCGCGGCCCCGCCCCTCCGTCTGCAGCGCGCGCGTGCGCGCTTCCCGGAAGCTAGGGGCGGGGCTTGTGGCTCTCCGGCGCGCGTTGGCTGACGGGAGCCACGTCTCCGCTGGCGGAGGACTAAGAGGCGATTGGCGTCCGGGGGCTGCTGGGAAGATGGCGGACTCGGTGGCCGGCGGATGAGGAGGCCGCGGGGGGAGCCCGGCCACCGGGCCCCGAGACCGACTCTGGGAGCGATCTGCGCGGGGCCTGGGGAGTCATGTAGGGGGCGGGCATCTGCGGAGCGGGCCGCGGGAGGACGGCGGGAGTTGGTGTTGGCGACCGTGACCACGGTCTCCCGGCGTCCCCGAGCTGGGTGGGCGTGGGGGGCCCTGACATCGCCGACTCCGCGCTGCCACTTTCCCCCTGCGCCCTCGGCTTCCACGGGCGCCCTCCGAGGTGGGCGCTGCGTTCTCGTTTCACAGGCGAGGAGGCTTAGGCAGAGAGACGAAGCCACTGGTCCAAGGTCACGCAGCTGGTAAGTGGGAGCACCCAGCGTGGAACCCAGGACCGTCCGGCCTCGGAGCCCCCGTGCCGCCCACCGCGCCGCCGCCGCCGCCTCCTCCTGCGGGAGCGGGAGGTGGTCGGGGGTGGGGAGCGTGTCGCCGGGCCGAGCTGGGCTCCAGGCTGAGCGCGACCACTAACCAGATTCGTGACCTCGGGCTTAAGTTTATCCCTTCACCTCTCTGGGTCTTGGTTTTTCCACCTGTGAAGTCGAGGTAATGCAAAGCCCTGCCTGCGTCCTCATAGGCATGCAAGGAGGATCAGAGGACATAATGCATGTGGAAGTGCTTTGTAAATATCCCTGCGCTGAGACCACTGAAGGATTGATCGCTGTGTCAAAGCGTGGAAGGAGGCAGAGGGAGGGGCTGGTGGGGAAGAGGACGAGACCAGTCCCAAAGAGGGGTGAACTTGACTCTGGCTTGCTCTGAGCCCAGGCCCCTCTGGTTGGGGAGTGAGGTGAGGAGTAGAGAGCAGGCTTCTCTCCCCTTTGGAGAAAACCTCACCCCCTTTTCTGGGCCGCCCCTCAGGGTCTCCATCACCCAACTCCATGCTTCGAGTCCTGCTCTCTGCCCAGGCCTCTGCTGCGCGGCTGTCTGGCCTGCTGCTGTTCCCACCTGTGCAGCCCTTCTGTCTGGGGCCCAGCAAGTGGGGGGACCGGCCTCCCGGAGGAGCCCCCCATGCAGCTCCTGTGCAGGGGCTGCAGCGGCTTCTGGAGCAGGCGAGGAGCCCTGGGGAGCTGCTGCGCTGGCTGGGCCAGAACCCTACCAAGGTGCGCGCCCACCACTACCCAGTGGCACTTCGTCGTCTGGGCCAGCTCCTGGGGTCTCAGCCATGGCCCCCTCCTGTGGAGCAGGCCACGCTGCAGGACTTGAGTCAGCTCATCATCCGAAACTGCCCCTCCTTTGACGTGCACACCATCCACACGTGTCTGCACCTCGCGGTCTTACTTGGTGAGGAGGGTGTCTGGGGGATGGGCGTTAACGGGAGACTAGAGAAGAGCAGTGGAGGACCCAAGACGATGGACAGAACTCACCGCTCGGGCCTTGCCGGGCATGGCCGTGCCCCGACACACGGCTGCTCCCCCACATCCATGGCTGACGTCAGGCGTCAAGCAGCATTTGTCGCAGCTGAGCTAGGGTGCTGCAGCCCCAGGTGACGGCCACCTCAGTGCACTGGGAGCCACTGCAATCTGTCGCCGTTCACACGAGATGAGAACGTATCTGCCATCTTTGTGTCAGACCTTCCCCACAGGCTGTTCTGATCCCCTAGCTGACATGGCACTTCACACTACACTGCAGCAAACCTGCCAGCCCAGAAAACAGATGAGAGAGTCTGGGGACCCACTAGCAGCCCCAACACTGGAGCAGAGCAGAGCAGCTCCTTACCAGAACCGCCTCCTCTGACCCTCTCCCTCTCAGGCTTCCCCTCAGATGGGCCCCTGGTGTGTGCCCTGCAGCGGGAGCGAAGGCTCCGCCTCCCTCCGAAGCCACCTCCCCCTCTGCAACCTGTCCTTCGAGGTGGGCAGAGGTTGGAAGCCGCTCTGAGCTGCCCCCACTTCCTGCGGCATCCTCAGCAGCGCCTCATCCGAAGCCTGGCAGGTGCTGGAGGGGGTTAAAGGCAGGTGGTGGGGAATGGCTAAGGTAGACGCTAGCCTGGAGATACGGCCTGAGGGTCCAGCGTGATAGGCTGTCCTTCACAGAGGCCAGGCCAGAGGAACTGACGCCCCACGTGATGGTGCTCCTGGCCCAGCACCTGGCCCGACACCGATTGCGGGAGGCCCGGCTTCTGGAAGCCATTGCCCACTTCCTGGTGGTCCAGGAAGGCCAGCTCAACAGCAAGGTGGGGTTGCCTCCCACGCTTCCCAGCTACCCATCAGGCCCAGCCCCTGTTCAGCTTCATTGATGGCTGCGTCCTCCAGCAAACCGCTCAGCTGGGCCTTGTGCCCTGGGTTCCCCAGCGCCCAGCACGTGCACGGTCCTCTGCAGTTCTGCAAGCACTCAGCCTGCCCTAGCTTCACTGGCCCCGCTCCTTCCCCAGGCCTTCAGGGCCAGGCCCCACGGCACTGCCTCCACTTGTTCTGTGATTGATTGCATGGGGCTCAGGACACTGCTTATGCCACAACCTCCTGGTGTGTGTCAGGTGGAGGGATGGTTCTGCCTTCGTGGTGACGTTCTGAGTTTGCAGGCCAAGGGTTCTGGAGCATCATTCCGTGCCGGGTGACGGCTGCTCTCCCTCCACAGGCAGTGCAGAAGTTGGTCCTGCCCTTCGGGCGGCTGAACTACTTCCCCCTGGAACAACAGTTTATGCCCTGCCTTGAAAGGATCCTGGCTCGGGAAGCAGGGGTGGCCCCCCTAGCCACTGTCAACATCCTGATGTCACTGTGCCAGCTGCAGTGCCTGCCCTTCCGAGCCCTGCACTTTGTCTTTTCCCCGGGCTTCATCAGCCACATCAGTGGTGCGCAGACCGGAGGGCTGGCGGGCAGGGGAGGGCGGGGTGTGGGCCTGCAGCCCAGCGCATCTCAGTCCCCTCGCCCACAGGCACCCCTCACGCCCTGATTGTGCGGCGCTACCTCTCCCTGCTGGACGCGGCCGTGGAGCTGGAGCTCCCAGGATACCGGGGTCCCCGCCTTCCCCAAAGGCTGCAAGTACCCATCTTCCCCCAGCCACTCATCACTGACCGTGCCCGCTGCAAGTACAGGTGGATGGGGCATCTTGGGGAGGGAGGGGAGCAGCCTGGAAGAAGCAAAGTAGAAAAGCTAAAGAACCTGGACCTATTTAGACTGATGCCCTGTCAGGAGTCATAAAGAAATGGGCCTTGAGCCCTGGCTGGTGTGGCTCAGTGGACCGAGTGCTGGCCTCTGAACCAAAGGGTCACCAGTTTGATTCCCAGTCAGGGTATGTGCCTGGGCTGTGGGTCAGGTCCCCAGCAGGGGGCGCATGAGAGGCAACCACACGTTCATGTTTCTCTTTTTCTCCCTTCCCCTCTCCCTGAAAATAATTGAAAACACACACACACACACACACACACACACACACAAAACAGCAGGGCAGGCAGTGAAGGCATTCGCCCAGGGTCACACAGCCAGGGGCCGCCCAGCTGGGAGGAGGTGCCTGGGCCTTCCGTCCAGCAGTGCTCCTCTCCCCTTCCAGTCACAAGGATATAGTGGCGGAGGGGCTGCGCCAGCTGCTGGGGGAGGAGAGATACCGCCAGGACCTGACCGTGCCTCCAGGCTACTGCACAGGTGAGCTCCAGGTGGGTGGGCTGGCACTGCGCTGGGTGACGTGGAGCCTGGGCTAAAAGCCAGCGGCCCTTTCTCTGCCCCCAACCCCTTCCAGACTTCCTGCTGTGTGTCAGCAGCTCTGGTGCTGTGCTTCCCGTGAGGACCCAGGACCCTTTCCTACCCTACCCTCCCAGGTCCTGTCCCCAGGGCCAGGCTGCCTCTCAGCCCACCACCCGAGACGCTGCCCAAAGGTAAGGGAGGACAGCAGGAGGGCCTCCCCCGCCTTCTGGGACAGCGACCCTGAGCCACGGTCCCTTCTCTCTCCAGGGTGGTGCTGATGCTGCGTGAGCGCTGGCACTTCTGCCGGGACAGCAGGGTGCTGCTGGGCTCGCGGGCCCTGCGGGAGCGGCACCTGGGCCTGCTGGGCTACCAGCTCCTGCCGGTGAGAGCCTCCCCCGCCCCGCCTGAGAGAGACCCTGTGTGCACCCCGACCCCCAGGCCAGAGGGTGACCCGCTGCCCTGTGCTCGCAGCTGCCCTTTGAGGAACTGGAGTCCCAGAGAGGCCTGCCCCAGCTCAAGAGCTACCTGAAGCAGAAGCTCCAAGCTTTGGGTCTGCGCTGGGGACCAGAAGGGGGCTGAGGGGTGCACGTGGGGTTCACGATGGCCCCCCTGTGGGGGGTGGGCGATGTGCACTTTGGCTCCCTGTTTTATTTTTCATTAAAGTCCCTTTCCTCCCCATCACCCATCTCATCTCTGGGCTGCCCACCCCTCTCCCAGCCACGCCCCACCACCTCTCCGAGAGACAGAAGGCCAGGGCAGGTGGGAGCAAAAGCACTTTACTGCGGGGGTGGGAGGAAGGGGCCATTAAATTATTCACTTAAATAAAAACGAGGAGGGAAGGGGATGGGAGGGCATCCCCGGCCTGCCCCTCTGTCCGTCCATCCGGCAGCAGCTACACAGGCATGGGCATCTCATTGTACTCATCCACGCCCTCCCGCTCGTCGAACACGGGCTCCGCCTCGTTGGCATCCAGCTGTGGGGGAGGCGGGGTCAGGAGGGCGGGGCCCCAGCAAGGACTCGGGCAGGGGCCACGCGGGGCGGGGCAGGGTGGGGCCGAGGGGCGAGGGCAGGGGGGCCTTACGCATTTCATCTCGCGCTCCGTGAAGATGCGGGTGAGCACCACCATGCGCAGCGGCACCGTGAGGATGAGGATGAAGGGGAAGGCCAGGGAGGCGGCTGTGGACATGACGGCCCAGAGTAGGGCCAGGCAGAGCAGCTGCAGGGCGGTGAACAGGTGCATCCGCAGGGTCCGGACCTGGAGGTGGGCGGGCGGGATGAGACGGGAGTCCGGGCCTCGCCCCGGCCCCCGAGGGCCCAGCCGTCCAGAGGACAGGCGGCCCCTTTCCCCTCCGTGGGGGTGAGGGCAGAAGGGCCTTGTCTGCGCCCCCCACAGCCAGGTCTGCACAGACCGAACTGGCCCAAGTAGGCGCACAGTGCGGGGCCTGGCAGGCGACCCACGCAGCCCAGGACCCACGCAGCAGAGGCACGGGGCCCTTCCGGGAGGCGTCTCACCTTCTTGACGTAGGTGACGTCCGGGTGGTGTTTGGGAGGCATGAGCAGCAGGTGCAGCCGCTCGTAGAACTGGATCCCGTTCAGGGAGGTGACCCCCATGTACAGGAAAATCCCGAAGAGCACGGCCAGGGGTATCTCTCGGAGCAGGTCGCCGATCACGATGGAGAGGCCTGGGGGGCGGGGGGAGAGGGAGCAGTCGTCTCCAGGGCCGCCCACCCCGGCGCCCAGCCCAGACGAGTGTGGGGCGGGGCTTGGGGGGGCGGACATACCCACGAGCAGGGAAACCAGCAGCCCGGTCACCCGCTGCTCCTTGACCTCCTGGATCTTGGGCTTGTCCCCGGGCGCCACAGCCTTGCTCATGACGGTGAGCGCATTGGCGTGTGTGACGGAGCGGACGGTGGCGGCCGCCAGCCAGGGCAGGCCGAAGAGGGCGCAGACGCCGCCCATGCCCACGATGAGCAGCAGGTCCAGGTGGAAGCCCGAGCCCTTCTGCAGCATGCGCTCCTTCTTGGAGATGATCAGCCTGCGCGAGGACAGGGCTGGCTGAGGCCCGGGGCCGGCTCGGCGGCCGGCCAGGTCTCCCTGGGGCGCCCAGCTCGTGGCCTCCGTTTTTGGAACCTGGCGGTCCCAACCCATTCCATCCAAAACGGGAGTTATGTGATAAAGCTGATTACGTGATTCTGCAGAGCCTCCCTCCCTGCAGCACAGCTCCCAGCTTGCCCCGGGCCCCTCCCAGCAAACGTCACAGGGATCTCCCGCTGTCTACAGAATAAACTCCAGCGGCCAGTGTGGCATCCTGCACCCCACACCCAACAGGCTCTGGCCCCACCCACACGCCCCTGGTCATGTCTGCGCAGCAACCCCCTGGGCTAGGACCACTCACGTGGTGATTTGCGTCTCCATGAAGATGAGGATGAAGACCAGGAGGGCGGGCAGCAGGCTGGCCACCATCATCCACACGGGGAAGGAGCTGTTCTCGCCCAGGGGGTTGATGACCCAGCCCCGCTTGTCGGGGGCCGTCACCGAGAATCCGCTGGGCACATTCAGCTTCTGCAGAGCAGGGGCCGGGATGGGTGGGCCTTGGAAGGGGAGCCCCGAGCTGCCCCAGGTGGGGTGGGGCGAGTGCTGAGGGTGTGTGTGTAGGGGGGGGGAGGCCCGTGTGTGCCCAGTTGAGAGGAGGCTCTCTGGAGCCGGGGGCCGCAGAGCACCATCCCGAGTCCGAAGCCAGGCAGCGCACTCCTGCTGCTGTGTGTACTGGGCCTTACCTGGGTATAGGTGTCCTCGATACTGTAATCCACAAGCACCATGACGAGGATCGCGATGGGCACCCCGAAGTCCCCAATCACCCGCCGCACCTGTGGGCAAGCGCCACGCTCAGACCGGGGGCCCCTGCCCTGCTCCAGGCCCGACCGCTGGGCACCCGCAGCTCCCCCCTCCCGGAAGCCTCCGCCCCACGCACCCGGCCGGGGAAGAACCGGCTGTTCTTGAACTTGCGCAGGAAGAAGGCAATGAAGAAGGTGCCGGCCATGAGCACCAGTGAGAGCAGGGCCGTGTTGGGCTGGCCCCGGGGCCTTCCCTGCCCAGAGGGCCCGGCCAGGCTCACGTTCCCCGGCCCCGGCGTGGCCCTTGCCCCGGCCCACGTGGTGTTCTCGCCACCACCTGCGGCGTCACGCACAGGCTCGGAGCTGTTGACGGCAGAACAGCCGTGGAGGGGGTGTTCCTGGAAAATCTGAGGAGGGACAAAGAGCTCCATCAGCAAGACTGGGCTAGTGACCAGAGTGGGGGAAGGGGAGGGAAGTTCAGGGGAGAGTGGGAAGGGTTCACAGGAACAAATTTAAAGGACACATGGACAACAACTAGGGGGAGGGTGGTGATGGGAGGGAAGTGGGGAGGGTTGGGAGAGTGAGCTGGACTGGGAGTAAAAGGGGGAAAACTGTACTTGAACAGTGATTAAAATAAAATTTAAAAAAGTTAAAAAAATAAAAATAAAAAAAAAGACAGGGCAACGTCTGGGCTCAGGCGCGTGCTGAATGGGACAGGCGGAGGTGGGTGGGGGGGTGGCCAGCTGCCTGCGAAGAGCGTCTCTTGTGGATCAAGAAAATGACCCAGCCCTGGCTGGTGCAGCTCAGTGGACTGAGTGTGGGCCTGCAAACCGAAAGGTCGCCGGTTCGATTCCCAGTCAGGGCACACGCCTGGGTTGCGGGCCGGGCTCCCCCATTGGGGGCCTGCAAGAGGCAGTTGATTGATATTTCTCTTGCACATCAGCGTTTCTCTCTCTTGCTTTCTCCTTTCCCCTCTCTCTAAACAAATACAAACTTAAAAAAAATAAAAAGACCCAGAGGACCAGGTGTGAGGGCAGGGCAACTGAGCATGAGCACAGGCTGGTCTTCCTGAGGCAGGGGCCGGGGAGGGCGGCTGCAGCCAGGCCTGCGGGGACCGGGCGTGGAGCGTGGGGCACGGAGCCCGCCGCAGACACGGGCCAGGTGTGCTGGCCGTGGTTATGCCTGCTGCTCAGGAGACTTCTCCTTTCTGCATTTCTAGGTCATTTGCCACTTTAACAAAAATGTATTACCCTTGTTATTGAAAGTTTGTTTTTAAGCCCTGGTTTACCTGGCAGGGCTCGGGGCCAGGCAGGAGGAAGAACCTGCCCGCTTTCTCTCTGGGGTAGAGAGCGGGTGGCAGGCATCTCAGGGCCGGCCTGGCCTCCCACCCAGGAGAGAGAGCAAGACAGGGGCACACCGCCCCCTGGCTCCCGCCCCGGGGCCCACAGCCTCCCCACTCCCCGCCCAGTGCTCGGTGGCACCTGCTCACCTTGACCAACTTGTAGAAGGTCTCGTAGATGAAGATGAGGGAGATGAGGAAGGCGAAGATCTCCTGGGTGAAACGGGAAACGAAACGCACCAGGAAGCTCCCCTCCAGGGCCACCATGAGCAGCGCCAGGAGCACCAGCCAGAAGCCGATCCATACACGGCCCACCAGGTACTCCAGCCCGTTGTACTGGCAGAACTGGGGGGGGGGGAGGGGGGCGAATGTCCCGTCAGGCCCAGAGAGCACAGGCTGACTGGGTGGGGGTGTTCCACGGAGAGGAGGGGCCCCCCGGGGACCCTCACCGAGAAGAAGGCCTCCTCGAACACCAGCAGGGGCCCCGAGAAGCCGATCACCAGCAGCGGCTGCGCGCCCAGCAGGCAGAAGAGCACGCCCTGGAGCGCCGTGGACACGATCAGCTCGGACACCCCGATCAGGTTCTCCGTCTTCTCTCCTGGGGCGGCAGCGGCGACCGGCTCAGGCTCGGGGGCTGGCAGCCGGCCCTGTGTGCGCCCCGTGTGCGCCCCGCCCCCCCGCCCCCACCACCCCGGAGCCTCTCCTTACCCAGCAGCCCCCCGAAGGTGATGGCGGGCGACAGGGCTGCGAAGTAGATGAAGATGACCGCGGCCAGGCACTGGGGGTCGAGCGCGTCCCGGAAGTCGCTCAGGTAGTGGGGGTAGCGGCGCCGCACGTCGCGGATCAGCCCGCCGAAGGGCCGGCCCGTCCGCCGGAGGGGATCGTCTTCCGCTGCGCCCGTCGCCTCTACCATCTGCAGGAGCGCTGCAACCCAGGCCTCCGTCAGGGCGCCCGCCCAGGACCCCCCACAGCCCCCCCCAATCTCCTCGGAGCAGTTACAGACCACCGGACCCCTGCCCCAGGCAGCCCCCCGCCTGCACTGGGCACTGGGCCCGTACCCTTGTCCTGGGCCGACTTGGGCTCCAGCCCCGCCCCCGGGGGCAGCAGCCGGCCCTGCTCCTCCCGCTTCTTGAGCATCTGGCGCTGGAAGTGGGCGACGGAGCGCAGCAGCTCCTCGCCCTGCACCTCCGAGGGCGGCAGCACCACGCTGCAGTCCAGGAAGGCGTTGATGGCGGTCAGCAGGTCCTCCCGCTCGTCCGCCATGTAGGCCGCCTCGTGGAATTGCTGCCGGAGCAGAAGCGGGGACGGTGAGGGCCGGGGGCCAGGGGGCCGGGGGGCCGGGGGCCGGGGGCCGGGGGGCCCGGGGGCCGAGGGCCGAGGGCAGGGCTCCGCACCGGGACCCACCTTGTCGGACATGAGGGTGGAGATGGAGCGGCCGATCTCGTGGTAGTCCATGTTGGCACTGCTCGGGCCCAGCAGCAGGAAGAGGAAGCGCACCGGCACGGGCACCTCCAGCACCGCGTCCAGCTCCACCGCCTCCCGCAGCCGCACGAAGGCCATGGTGGGCCGGGAGAGGAACTCCACGCAGCCTGGGGGGCGCGCGCGACCGTTGTGGGCGAGGACAGGGCACCAGGAGCCACTGCCCAGCAGCCCCCAGCCCAGGGGCAGCGCCCAGCCAGGCGGGCGGGCTGGCCACCGGGACCCCCCCCCCCCCAAGACGGGCCCCACAACCCCCCCCGACATACCCACGAGGACCACCGTGGCCTCGGCGTTCTCGGGGATCTTCTCCAGCAGCTTCAGCTCGTGCTTGGACTTGGAGCGAGTGATGCCGGCCGGCGGGGCCGGAGGCGGCAGCTCGCGCTGGGGGCGCGGGAGAGAGTGCAGCTCAGCCCGGCCTGTGCACAGCCTCACAGCCGGGCCGGCCCCGCCCCGGCCCGGGCCTGGGCCGCCGTCTCCACTCACCTCGCGCTCCACATCCAGCCGGGTCTCCGGAACACCTCCGATGAGGGGCTCGGTGACGTGGGGGTCGCTCTCGGCCCCCTGGCCGTGGTGATGCCCCAGCAGGGAGCCCAGGGAGCCGGCGGAGATGTTCCGGGGGAAGGAGAAGTCCTTCTCGTCGCTCGGGTGGCTGGCGGGGCAGGGGGCGACGGGTCAGAAGGGCGGTGACCAGGGACGGGGGACCAGGGACCAGGGACCAGGGACCAGGGACCGCGGGCCGGGGAGCCGCACCTGTGTTTCAGCAGCAGGGCCCGCAGCACGTTGGCCCTGTCCTCGGCCTTGATCTGGTCGGAGATGACCATCTGCTCCACCACCTGGTGGGCCACGCCGGGCAGGGTCTGCTGGTCCAGGTCCAAGAGCACAGCCCCTGGGAGGAGGAGGACGTAGGGGGACCCTCATCCCCGGGCCAGGGAGTGCAGGGCCGGGCCAGAGCTGGAGACCAGGGCGCGGCCGGGCGGGCAGGGCCTGAGGCCCGAGCCCCATCGCCCCTAGGTCCTGCTCCTCCCCACCCCTCCCCGCAGGAACACGCTGGGGTCACCAGAGGCTGCGGAACCCGGCCGTCAGCGCGGGCACCGGGGCCGGGAAGTGGCCGGACACGCCCTGCAGGAAGCAGGCAGCCTCCGCCGGGGGCCCCCGGCGGCCCACGAGGGCAGAGCCGCGCTGCGGTGTCAGAAAGCCCCTCCTCTCAGCGGGCAGCGCGCTGCCTCCCGACACCCGCCCCGGGGTCCCGGCTCTGCCTCCGGAGCACAGCAGAGCCGGGACCCCCAGCCCTCGTCCACCCGCAGCCTCGGGCCATCCACAGACCTCCCCCTCAACCGGGCTCCGCTGCCCCGCATCCAGCAGCTGCCTGTGAGGGCACTTCCTTTTAGTTTCTGGGTTTTTTTAAAAAATTTCATTTATTTATCTTTAGAGAGAGGAGAAAGCAAGAAAAAGAGAGGGAGAGAAACTTTGATGTGTGACAGACACACTGATCAACTGCCTCTCGCACAGCCCCAACAGCCCGCAACCCAGGCCTGTGCTCTGACTGGGAGTCCAAATGGCCGCCTTTCGGTTTGCAGGCCAGTGCTCAGTCCACTGAGTCCTAGCAGCCAGGGCTAAATATTTTTGCCTATTTTTTTTGGGGGGGGGGCGCGGGAAGGAGAAAGAGGGTGAGAGAAATGTCGATGCAGGAGAGAAACACTGATGGGTGGACTTCTGTACGCACCCCGACCTGGGACCGAACTCACACCCCAGGCACGTGCCCTGAGCCGGTCATCGAGCTGGCGTGAACCGGTCTTCCAACCGGCGACCCCTCGGCTGGCGGAACGATGCCCAGCCAACCCAGCCACACTGGCTGGGGCTCACAAGACACTTTCTAGACCTCTCCCCGCAAGCGACTACTCGGGAAGTACGCGTTCTTTCAGGAGTCACCAGGTCCCTTTTCTGTCCAGGGCAACGTTCCAAACACAGAACTGAGAACAAACAGAACCCAAACCCCCGAGCAACCTACACGGAGACGGCAGAGCCTGGCGCTGCAGCGCCCGCACGTTGGCACCCCACCCAAAGCCTTCCGGCCTTACTCACAGCCCGTTTACTCCGAGCTCGGACACGACTGGGACGGCAGGTGTCTCCGTCCTGGCAGCTCAGGGACAGGCCTCCTGGTGGCCGCTGGGCGTGACCAACCCGCCCCCCCGGCACGAAGGAGGAAACAAGCGAAACAAGCGAGGAGCGAGCAGACACATCGGACAGGGAGCTGAAGGGGCCTGCGCCCGTGGACACTTGGGGAGGCCCACACAGTCCCGCAGGCGAGACCAGGTCAGAAAGCTTTTCCAGCAAAACCGTCTGAAACCACACCAGCTTCGGTTCCTTGAAAATGTCACTTAGAGCAGTGTCACTCCCACTCTGCCTACGGTGACCTTGATCCCTGTGTTGCCCAAGACACACGCGGGGGCCACTCTGCCCTCAGAGGGGAGTGGCTCGGGTGAAAGGTGGTGTGTCCTGGGGCCGGGACAGGAGTTGGGGGGTCGGGGGGGGGGGCAGGTTACCGTGGGCCAGGGTCCGGCGGAGCTCCAGGAGGCTGCGGAAGGACAGGGAGGCCACGTGGGGCTTCCCCCAGCGCTCCGTCTCCTCCTCCACGTCCTCCTCGAACTTGATCCAGCGCGCCGTCTCCCGCCACTGAGGCTCCTGGTTTTTGTCCAGCAGGAGCTCGTTCAGCTCCACGAACACCTGGGGGGACGGTGAGAGGGCAGGGCAGGGTCAGAGCCGCCGGGGGTCCCCAGGGACTGCTCGGGCACGAGCCTCCGGACGGCACGAGGCACAGGCATGGGGCCCGGGCGCGTCCTGACTCGGTCGGAGACTTTCTTTTTCTCGTCTGTAAAATGGGAGCGATGCTGCCCACCTCCAAGAGCCCCCGGGGGGACTGGAAGGGGGAGCGCACAGGCACAGCCCCACGCGGGACTCGCAGCAAGTCCCTGATGCACGCCACGCACACGCACGATCGGGCGCGATTCTGTGTGCACGTGTTCGAGCACCGGCACGACCCAGCACAGAAGGGCGGGCGCCTCTGAGGGCGCCGACGGGGCGGAGGTGTGCGGGCACCTTCCGAGCAGGAAACGGCCAGTGCCTCTCGCAGGGTCATCCGGCTGTGCCCAGGGCCGCGGAGCACTCAGCCCGGGCGCACTTTACTGTATGTCTATTAGACCTCAATAAAACGGTTTGAAAAACTCCACGGCAAGGTTCAGGGTTCAGGACCGGAGCCTCGGGGCCTAAGAGGGGTAGCACCAGCAAGTCCCTGAGTGACCTTGGCCGGTCACCGTCCCCTGATTCACGGCGGGGCCATCATCTTCCCGGGCTGTGGGAGGATCGCATGAGTCAGAGGTAACCGCATTCCGGAAAATGAAGTTCATGGCTCCGCAGGGCTGCCTCCAGGGTCCACACATACCCCACTGCCAGCTGCCAGACAATGACCGCGCCAGACATCAATAGCGGGGAGGACGTTCGCAACCGCGGGTGGAGCCCCCGGGGCTCAGGGAGGTCACAGCTGGCCCCAGAGGCGGGGGAGGCGGCCGCGGGGAGAGGAAGGAAGCGTGAGAAGCTGAGGAACAAACACATACCTCGTGGGGCTTGTGGGGGACCCGGGGCCGGGCCCGGGGCGTGGGGCCAGGCTCGCGCCCCTCCCGGCTGCTCTGCCCAGACTTGGCATTCTTCCGCACCAAGTGCCGCCGGACCCCGGGCACGTCCTCAAACCGGTGGCCTGGGAGGGGGGAGGGCAGCAGCGTCAGGCTCCCCGCTTCTCCCAGCCCCGTTCCCCACCCTGGTGCCCAGGCCCAGCACTCACTCTTCATGAGGTCCAGGTCCGCCGTGGCCAGCGTCTGCGCCTCGCTCTCGTCCGTGGGCACGCGGGGCAGCAGGGCCTGCTCCGCCCCGGTCATGCTGCCGATGCGCCTCCTCTCCTGCAGGTTGTAGCTGCGGTGCCCGGGCTGTGCCTTGCTCAGCGGGCGCCCTGAGGCGCCGCCGTCATCGCCTCCCGCTGCGCCGCAGGCCACGGCTACGGCCTGCTCCACCACCGGGGCTCTGGGTGGAGGGACAGAGCCGCTGTGAGCCCGGGGAGGCTGGGCCCCTCCTCTCGGCGAGGAGCCCCGCAGGAGGACCGCACCCCCAAAACACCCCACTCTAGAAGCAGGAGTTTAAACCAGCTCCCCACCCCTCCACCGACTGCGTCTCAAACCATCACATCGGGCAGCTCAGAACAAACTTCTTGGCAGTGCAACTGCGCCGAGAGCAGGCCGCTCCTGGGGTGGGGGGCAGGGGCGGGGGGTGCCTGCAGCACCAGTCTGAGCAGCTCCAGTCCCCTCCTGCCCTCCCAGGACCGCGGCGTGACCCAGCAGGGTGAAGGGCGTGGACTTGGGCTTTGAGACCACAGACGGCCCCCTGCGGTCACGAGGAGCATGTGACTCCCTGTGCCGCACAGGTTCCAACTCCCGCTCCTGTCCCCCAGCCCGGTGTCTCCTTCCTCTCTGCCACTGCCCGTGTGTCCCGGTCCCCGCCACGCGCTGCTGTCCAGCGCCTCCCATCCAGTCAAGGCCACGACCAGAAGGCCCCCACCAGGCTTGCTCGGCCTACGCCCACCCTCAGGACCCTCGGTTCTGCCCACACACCCTTGCTCACAGTCAGACCCGCTTTTCCAAGGCCAGGCTTTCTCTGAGGCGCCCCCAGCTCCCACTGGCCGCCTGGCCGCCCGCAGGCCCGTGTCCGCAGCCCAGACCCAGCTGGGGACCAGCACCACCCGCATAGCCCGTCTGTCTCCCCAGGGTGCGTGTCTGCGCAGGCCCCGGAGGGGCGCCGCGCCCTTCCCCTCCCCGCAGCCCTTCACACGGCCTGGCACCCAGAAAACAACGAGTCCATGATAGCAGTGACCTTGAGAACTCATTCCAAGTGATGTCCTCCAGGTAGCCTTCCCTGGCGAGCGCCCCCAAACTCCGATCGCCTGCCGGTGCTGGTACCAAGCTACCCGGCATAGTAACCTGCTCTGGTGCCATTTCCTGACGCGACAACCAGGGTGGACTGGCAGCTCCCCAAGTGAAAAGGGGCGTCCTCTATTTCTCTCATGCCCTGAGGGCCTCAAGGGGTGCTGGGAGGCCACCAGGCCAGTCCCTGACCCAGTGCTTGATGCTTCCATCTGAAGTCTGGGGAGAGGGGATGGCGGGGGTGGGGGTGGGGGGCAGCTGAGACGGCCCCTCTGTTCCGCGCCAGGCTAAAACGTTCCTAAACCTTAACTCCGCCACCCCTTAATCCCTTCAACCGCCCTGAAGAAAGGTTCTATTATTCTCGGTTTACAGAAGGGAAAGCGGGCTCAGAGAGGTTCCTCGCCCCGAGAGCTAGTGAGGAGCAGGACTGGGGTTTGAACCCCAGTCTGAAGACCCTGAGGCTCTGCCGCTTGTCCCACCCCACACGCTGACAACAGCAGGGAAGACCGCCGCCTGGGGACACTCACCCCGTCTGGGCCCCTCTGGTGGCCCGGGGAGCTGCCTCCTGGTGGGGCAGTGGCGGAGGCGGAGAGGGACTGGTCCTTTCTGCCTTCCTGTCGGTGACCTCATCCTCCTGAAGAAAGAACTGGAGAAGGGACCCACGTAGGCAGACGAGGCCAGGCCAGACCTCCCCGGGGGTCCCTTGGGAGCCCTGCCCCGACTCACCTGCACCGAAGAGGGAGTGGAGGCGGGAGACGGCTGGGTGACTGCTCGGGCACCCTCAGCCTCACCGGCCTCATCCTCGTCTTCCTCTCCCTCCTCAATAGTGGGGGTCTCCCCGGTGGGGGTGGCCCCAGGGCGCCTTCGAGGCTTCCGTCCGGGGCCCTGGGGCGTCTTGCGGCGGCGGGTGTCCGGAGGCAGGTGGGTGGACAGCGGGTGATGGATGTGGTGGGAGGACTGGCGGTGGTCTGCAGGGAGAAGGGGACCCCGCTGCTTGCTGGCAGGCACGGCCTCGCTCCCAGCCCCTGGCCCCAGCTCCGGCCCCTTCCGTGGTGGGCAGTCCAGCCAGAGGGACCCTGCCCCCTCCTCAGGGTCTCCCCCTCACATTCGAAGTCTTCCTCCCCATAGCTCCGGCTGGGCTCCTCCCCTCCGCGAGACCCCGCCTCCTGAAGGATCTCCTCAAACCGCTCCACCCCGAGGGTCCGGTGCAGCTCGTCCTCCTCCTGCTCGGGGAAGCCAGGGGCCGCGGGGCCCACGCTCTCTGGCTCTGGCTGTGAGGGGGGAGAGCAGAGAGAGAAGACACAGCGGCTCACTAGGAGCTCACCCCGAAACCCCACCCTGCCCAGCACTGGAGAGAGAGCACCCCCAGAAGCCTGCCGGCTCAGATGCTGGGGAATGGGCCCCCCACCCAGCAGCCCATCCCCTAGGTCGGGGTGCTCTGGAGCCGGGCTGTGCCCACCCGCACAGCTACCGCAGGCAAGAGGGGCTGTTCCACAAGTCTCCACACAAATCCTGCGCATCCTGCGCGTCCAGCCCGCCGGCCGGGTGTGTGAACCGGGCAGCTCACGTGGCTGAGAGGGAACACGCTTCCTCTCGCTCGCTAGAGGCGACTGACCAGCCTGAAAGTAACTTCTGGGGGCGCCCGACCTAACTGACCTGGACTGGAGTCCGAGTCACACGGATACCAGCTCCTGGAAAGGAACGTGGCGGCCTCGCCTCCTCAGGGGAGCCCCCCATTCACCACCCCGCCGCCGCAGCCCTGGGGACCCCCCGCGCGGCTCCCTGGCCCGGCCCCGCCCCTCACCCCACCCCCACCCCCCACCTGAGTCATGCTGCAGGAGCCGGGAGCCGGGAGCCGAGCAGCCGGGACTGCGGTGGTGCTTTTGGAGTGCTCAGCTAACGGCCTGCCTAGCCAGTGGCCTCGGTCCAGCCCCCCGCCCACCCCCTGCCGGTCTCCGCTCCAAGCGCGCCAAATATTTGCTCAAGAGCTTCTGGACCTGAAGGGCATCAAGATTTCAAAGGGCGGGGTATGGAGTCCCCTCCGCGGCGGCGCCGGTGCGCGCAGCTAGAGGAAGAAAGAACGAGGAAGAGCAAGAGGGAGCTGGGAAGCAGGGCAGGTGCTGGGGAGACCCCGAGGTGGGGACAGGAGCCGCTGGGGTGGCAGGGATACTGGATACGAAGAGAGACGGGGGGTCAGGGGTGGCTTCTTCCCAGCCCATCTCTGCAGCTCTGGCCCCGCAACCCCCAAGCGCCGGCCCTCCCCGACCAGAATGAGCTCGCTGGCTGGCGGGGAGGAAGGCAGAGGGAGGTGCCGAAGCGAGACAGAGAGTGGGGAGGTAGCCTGGAAGCGGGGGGTGGGGATCGAGAACCCCTCGCACCTGAGGGCGCAGGAGGAAGTCCATGGCAGGCAGGGGTGAACTTGGGAAGGAGGGGGAAGGGACCGGCCGGCGCCCCTTCTCGGTCACGTGCCCACTGGGCCAAAGTGACCAATAAGGGGCTGATGGTGGCACTCGGGGTTAATCATTACACTTCCCAGGAAAATCCGGAGGGGGCCACGTGGGGCAGAAACCACGTGGGGGTGGGAGTGGCCGACCTGAGGAGCACGTGGGGTGAGGGGCGGGGCCGGGGTGGTGTCTGGCTGGCGAGCTCCGCCCAGAGACACAGCACAGACCGACACTGTCTCTAAGGTCGGGGATGGGGGATGGGGATGCGGGGTGGGCACCGCCAGGTGGGAGCTCTAGCGTCCCCAAGTTCCTCTCTCACTTAGGCTACCACCCAGGTCTTCAGTAAACAGCCTCAACTCCGCCCCCAGAGCTAGACGCCCGACTAACTGCTCACCACCACCACCACCAATACCCGTCTCAGACCCCTGGAGCCAGGCAAGGCCAGCACAGGGATGGCAGCGCTCCTCGGGGATACCTCGCGGGTTCTCCCCGCTCCCAAGCCTCTGCAGACGTGAGCGCTCGCACACACACGACACACACAGACACACACACACCCCCCTGAGGGAATCCTTAGCAGAGCACCTGTGGCGTGAGGAGGCGCGGAGGGCGGCCGCCTCGCCGACAATACTCACAGTTCGGAAAGAGTCTGCGCCCGAGGCGGGGCGCCGGGGGGCGCTGGTCATGGCCAAATCTTAGCCCTTTTCACTGTCGCTGCGGCTTTCAGGGCAACAAGGCGGCGGCATAACCTGGGCGGGGGAGAGGACCGATCACTGGTGAGAGCGGGGCCAGGCCGGTGGGGGCGCCCGGGGCATTCTGCAGCCCTCCGCCTAGCCCAGCCCAGCCCAGCCCAGCCCAGCCCAGCCCAGGGGAGGGCAGGATGCGGGGCTTTCCGCCGGCTGGCCACGAGGAGTCTCCCAGCCGCGCAGGACACTCCCGGCCGTGATGAAGGGCCTCAGGGTGGCCCGTAGAGGCGCCAAGACCAAAGAGAAGTTATTTATAGGAAGAAAGGAGATGAATAAAGAGAAAGACCAGCGCGGCCTAGGGCCAAGGGACTGAGGGGTTGAAAGCAGAAGGGGGGAGAGGCCGCAAAAGGAGGAGGGGCTCAGACTTGGAGAGAGAGCTGCAAAGTGGATGTGTGTGTGTATGTGTGTGTTCGCGCGCCTGTGCGCTCGGGAGGGGGGTCAGATGGAGGGGGGAGAGACGGAAAGGACAGGCTGAGCCCGAAACAGGAGCAGCGACCGAGGGGTGGCACGCGGAGGTGGGCCGAGACTGGGAGAGACTGGGAGGGCGTGCTGGGGGGAGTGAGATACCCTCCGGAGCAGGCACGTGGGGAGGAAGGAAGGGAGAAGAACTCTGGAGAGAGGCCAACAGGGCCAGCAAGGGAGTCAGAGGAGACGGACCAGGACAGGGAGGGGGAGCATGACCGCACTCCCTCCCCGGGCAGGGGCTGGGGGCGGTGCTTGGGGAGCGGGGGAGAATGCGGGCTCCCTGGGGGAGGGGCAGGAGCCCAGCCCCACTCACTGACTGGGCCGGAGGGAAGGAGGACGACTCCGGGCACAGGCCGGGCACAGCTTTATGATGGGGGAGGGGCTCGCGACGAACTTGGAGGAGGCTGAGCACACAACCCTGAGGTTCTACCTTGAGGGGCAGCCTGACCCCTCCCCTCCCTCTGGACCAGGAAAATCTGAGTGGCCGGGCTGACACCCGCCTGACTGTGACTATAGGGGTGTCTGAGAGAACACGGGGTGTCTGGTGGGTGAGTTGCAGTTAGGGAACCTGACCAGTGCAAATCGGGGTGCCCACTCACAGTGGGGGGAGCACCCAAGGCCCTCCGAAGGTAAAAGGACCGAAACTCCCCATTGTGTGGTTGGGGGGGACTCAGGCTTGCCCGATTTAGGGCTACCTTGGGAGTAAGGCAAGCCAGTGGAAGGGCAAACGACGTAGTTCTGGGGGTAGGGGTCAGTCCCGGAGGGGGGCGCCTGGAGCGACACATTCCTGGCAAGCGCTCCGACTCAGCTGACGTCTCTCTTCACATCCCCCAGCAGGACTTCAGCCAGGGCACGTCCAGTGTGGGGGAGAGAAGGGCCCTGGGGGGTGGGACCCTGGTGTGGAGCGACCTGAGAGCCTGCAGGTGTGGGCTCTCGCCTCCGGGCTGAGCGGGGCTGTGCCCACGGTGTGTTTCCCCACCCTCCCTTTAACACCCCCCGCCCCCTCCCCCGCCATCCTAGAACACAAAGCAGCTTCTGTCCGGAGCATCGGTGCCGATAATCCGGGGTGAGGACACATTCCGGGGACCAGCCCCGACCGGCCCGGGGATTAGCATCTTTCCCCCTGCCCAAGGGATTAGCCCCCCGGACCGCCACTTGGGCATTCACCAAGTGCGGCCGCACATTCCACAGCTCTTCGAGGTGGGGTAGGCTGCGGCGAGGGGCGGAAGGAGACGACGCAAGCGGACCCTGCATTTCAGGCAGCACCGCCCCACCCCCAGCACGGAGCTCCCCTCCCAAAAAGCCCGCCCCTCAGGAGTCGGGTCCAACTCTCCGGGCTCCTCTCTCCACTCCCACCCAGCTGCTCCCTCTTCTGCCCGACCCCTCGTCCTTACCTGACTCGCCACCCAACCCCCTGCTCGGCTCTTCCTCCCAACCCGGAGGTGGGCGGAGAAGGCCCCGGGCAACCCCCAGGCTGGGCGCCCAGCACAGGAAGAGGTGCCGTTTGGAGTCCGCTCAGGAGTTGGGAGGGCCAGCGGCGCCTCCCGGAGACTACCCCCTCCTGGTGGCAGGGGGCGCGGCACCCTTGCTTTAGGGAATTCTAAGCAGCAGACCCCGGATCCGGCTCCCGACCAGCACTTCCCTCGCCTCCCCATCCTTTTCCCTAGATCTCGCTTTCCCGAGCCCCAGTCTCCGCCCTTCCTTCCACTTCCACTCCCTCCCGACACCAAGTCGCGAGTTCCCCCCTCCTTTCCCCTCCCTTCCTCCCTCCGCGGCCCTGGCCCTCCCCGCTCACCCGCTTGCTCTAGACTTCGTGTCGCGGGGGTCTTGGGGTTTCTCCCCCTTCTCCCGCGCCTTCGTGCGCTCCCGACGACTGCCTGGTGCCCACCTCGGGGCGCGCCCCCACCGCTCCTAACTTCTCCCAACTCAACTTTCCCCCGCGCCGCGGGCAGGCCAGCCCCCTGCGTGCGCGCCCCCCCGGCGCACCGTGCGCGGCCCCGGCGGGTGAGGAGGCGGGGAGCAGCGGCCCAGACCCGCGAGCGGAAGCGCGTTTCCAGGCACCGCCAGGCACCGGGGCTCCGGTCCAGGAGGCAGCCCCTGCTCTCCTCAGTGGCCGCCGCCCTGGCTTCCCCGCGTGGGACTCGGGCGCCCCGGGGACGCCGTCTCTTGGCCCATTTAGGCACCTCTGGGCGGAAATGAGCCCCACGCACGCTGGGGAATCCCAGGGATAAAAACGGAGGCGCAAAGATGATCAGGAAATTCGGGACGGAGAAAGTTGAAATACAAATGTATCGGGAACAATATTCTCTCTCTCTTTTTAAAAGATTTTATGTATTTATTTTTAGAGAGGGAAAAGGGAAGGAGAAAGAGAAGGGAGAAACATCAGTGTGCGGTTGCCTCTCATACCCTGCCGCAACCCAGGCAGGTGTCCTGCCTGGGAATCCAACTGGCGACCCTTTGGTTCACAGGCCGGCGCTCAATCTACTGAGCCACACCAGCCAGGGCAGGGACAGGATTCTCTTGTGCCCGCGGTCCCCACCCTCTCCAGTAACCCAAGTACCTCCAAGAAAGCCTGCCTTTGCCTAGAGGAACAGGACCAGGGCGAGAGAGGTGATGCCGGCTGGAGGTTGGATGCCCATTACCTTGAGCTGAGCTCGACTTTCCAACTGTGGCAGGGGTGGGGGGTGAGGGGGTACTTGTGCATCAGCGAGATTCCTGCAGTGACCTCCCTCCCTCCTTGAACCCAATTCATAGTCATCATCTGCCATTTAAAAAATCGGTGTATTTCTGGTTTTCCCAACTAAAATATAAATTCTTCCGGATAAGGACAATCCTTTTCCCCTCTTTTCTATAGTCTGCCACTGGGCAAAGGACAGAATCGTGAACCCAGAAAACGTTCAGATATCAACGAGTCAATTAACAAATGTTTAGCACCAACTCCGGTTCCTGCGCTGTGTACTGTTCGGGACCGTTTTTCGTCCAGTTCACAACCCTCAGAAATGCAATCATAAGACAATTAGAGAGCAGCGCAAGCAAATCTATAATCAACTCCTTCAGGGATGAGGTCAAGGCTGCTGCAAGTGTAGCTATCTGTCTGTGCTTCCGTCTGTCGAGGGCGGTAACCAACCTGCCAGCCCTCGGCCACACCCTGGCTGACTTTAGTAGGCTGGGATTCTGGACACTGGGCTGGGATTGGGGCGGGGGGGGGGCGGCTCGCAGCGCTGCGGCCCCTTTGCCTCGGGATGTCAGAGTGAAGCGAGCCACTGGAGCGCCCAAGCCGACAAACGGGGCCCAGGGAAAAGAGCGGTCTCCGGCATGTGTTAAATCCAGTTTCAAACGGAGCACCTGCCCCCGGCCCAGCCGTGCGTTCAGCTCGTCTCCGTAAAGTCATTATCAGGAAGACTTGGCCCGGGGTCATTCCCTAATCAGCCCTGGGGTCACCAGATGGCCTGGCGAGAGCTGGAAACCCGTACCGAGAGTGTCAAGGGGTCGTTGGGGGCTCAACACCATCAACCTGGTCAGAGCCTGTCCCCCTGGGCCCGGGATGTAGGCCGCCTAACCCCAAACCTCAGAGAGCGCCCCACCCCCAGCCCTGCCGCATTCTG